AAAAAAGTGTGGAAATTATTGGATGTGTTGGAAATCTCAATTTATTGATTTTTGTCAGAAAAAAAAAAAATTCTAGGTTTTATTGAGAGACTAAGACTCAATCGATTTAATTTGTAATAGGCTCTGTTACATTCAGCCATGTTGGACAAGTTAAATTTTTTTATGTTTTTTGTTGCGATTTGAATTTCAATTTTTTTTTTTTTTTTTTTTTTAATTTTCAAGAAAAGTAAATCATTGATAATGGAGAGAAACCTCACTTGCTGTTCGTCTTCTGTTACCCACAAAAAGTTTTGTTAATTTTTTATTGGATTTACTAATGGGTTACTCATATTGACACTTTCTTCATAAATCAGAAACATATTTTAGAAACTTTATTACATGGCAGGTGATTTCCATTTTTTGTTCTTTCTGTCACCAAAATGGAATCTTGCTGCCATATCTGAGTTGAAGCTGTCTATTCCCCAATTACCTAGGTTTGACAGTGTTTCAAAAGCATTTATGCCTACTTAATGGATAATTATTTCCCACCCTACACCCTCTTTCCCCACAGACAAAGCATTTCTACTCTTTTACTATTTTCATGGCAAATATTCAGACAAGCTACATTCCAGAGCTTCACCAGTTCAGACCTTTGCAGCTAGGGCCCCCTCCATATGCCTTGTACACAGGGTGGACTCATCTTCATTCCCTTTGTGGTGCATTGGTGAGGAGAAAGTTCCAATTGTCCAGCTTCTTCTTCAGAACTGTTGAATTGGAAGAAAAGACTCCTGGGAAAATGCTTCCCTGATCACTATAATCTTAAGATCAAGTTTAAGTGCAACTGTTATCTATCCAACATATCCCCAAAATAAGCATTTCTTTCTTCTTTTTTGCCCTGACAGCAGCCTCCATTAGTAACCCTTGGCTCTTGGGCCTTGCGATGACCTTCTACCTTGAGCAGCTTTTGGGCCTTGTGGTGACCCTCTACCTTGAGCGGCTCTTTAGCCTTGTAACGGGTGAACAATAGTATGAAGCAAATGATAAAACTATTAGGGGCATAAGGGCATGACATGTACTGCAACTATAGTAGTCTTGTGTTTTGGGTGAGGTTACTTGACAGAGTCTGTCTCTCTCTAGGCTGGTTTTAAATTCAGTTGTCCTTCTAGACTGATTGCCACCTTAAGTCAAGAGACCCCAGTGTACCCTTAGTCCTGAGTCTGAAGATAAACTACATCTGACAGCAAGGCCTCTCATTGGAGGTTTTGGGGAGCATAGAACCACCTCTTAATTGCTGTTGTTCCCAGGTCCACCATTTTAGGGTCTCAGTCATGGACAAATAGTGAACACTACAATCACTTGACTGTATTTTGTTTGCATGTTAACACCTTACTTACTTTGTGAACGTTTTGCCTTATTATTGTTGCTTTGCCTAGTTTTGTCTTGTATATATATTGTATGTTTAGTAATATTTTGCCTTTTTCTTTTTTCTTTCTTTTTTTTATTGTTTATTGGAAACTTTGTCAATTCTATTAATCAATCATTTTTGCCAATTACACTTAACCATGGCTAATTACTCTACACATATTTTAGATAATGGAAAACCAAGACCGTATTTAGATTTTTCTTATCAAAAACCAAATGATTGGGTATTATCCTATTAATTTGTTTTAATAATCTTATCAGGTGTTCGAGGATAATCAGTAGCAATTGAGAAATCAATTTCTTTTGTCACAGACATTTAGTGCAGTCTAATTTCAGTTGTATCTTTGTATTAGTTCAATTGTAATGAGTAAGTGACTTGGTAATCATTTCAGCATTTCATGTCATTAGTCGTATAAGTGCCCGTAACAGCAGAAGCCTGATAGAGTCGGCCCTCTTCTGGCTACTTTTCAATTCAGAAATTTCTTCCTCTTAGACTGCTTGCCACCTGAAGGTAAGAAAGCCCAATCTATCCTACTGTTTAACTCATAGCTACAGAGAGAGAGAGAGAGAGAGAGAGAGAGAGAGAGAGAGATGGAATTGTACCTTTCCCAGGGTCATTAGTGCAAATGTCTTTGTAGTACAGGGTGCCCAGTAAAAAAGCAGTATATTCAGAAAGATGTGAGAGAACCACTGAAAACTGGTGACGACTGATGTGACTGAAAAATTCAGGAAGGATTTCTGCACATTTTGTCAATTCCCCCGTCGGATGTTGTTCTTTGAAAAGTACCATAGCTTGACGCTCAAAATCAGTGAGTTGTTTAGCCACACTAAGGGCAGAATGAAAGATGAAAGTTGTATGTAAATGACGAGTCACAAGATCGAGCAGCAATTCACCAATTATAAAAGAACCAATCAGAGTTAAGTAATCATGTGAGAGTTGAATGGTTATTTAAGGTCATGAATGTTCATGAAATTTATTCAAGGTCACTTAAAACTGAAAGATAAAACTGATCATAAGTTTTTTTTACTTGGTAGCCTTGAACTTGGCATCACTTTTTGTGATTCCCCCCCCCCGCCCCCCAATATATGCAATTTTTTTTTTTTTTTTTTTTTTTTTTGCATCCTGTATGATTTTAAAATTTTGGGTTTGAGTGCAAAAGGGTGGGAATCAATAGCACTGTCTGTATTGAAGACGTTATTTTGTTTAAGTTTGCAATTGTCAACCAAAAAACAGCTGTTTAATAATCATTTTCAGACTTTCACCACATTACATATGAATGGATATTAATTGTATAAAGTGACATAGATTAATTAATCATTATGGTTTTGTTTGACAAGCTTTAAATGGCTTTTTTTGTTTGCATTCGTTCCACAATTATTTATTAAACTAATATGGTTTTGTGTTCATTTGTAATTAGGAGGCAGCAGTTCTGAATAGAGGAATTACCATCGTGGCAATAAAATGCTAACATTAAGAAAGAAGAAATTGTTTGCATATATTGCCTGACACATACTCTTTCCCCATGATTTATATGAAAAAGTTTCTGGCTCAAAGTCTGTGTATTTTATTCTAATTACTCATTTTTTATGATTTTTTTTTTTTATTTCCTACTTTTGATATGAAATATTTCCTTTCATATTTTAATGTTTATAATGCAGAAATCCTTTCTGCAAATCCCCATATCTTTCATGTTGTATCAGATGTATTGCTCCTCTGAATTGGCATAAAAAAAAAAAAAAAAAATTGGGATTTTCAAGTTTGCTCTTTCAGAAAAGAAAAGATCCCCTTTGGAGCTCTTGATTAAAGTTACGTCTCGTATATGGAATATATTGGTTGAAATACATATTACATTGCAAAACACCAACATTCATTCTATTATTTCAGATGTTAATTTTTCTGAATATAAAAAAAAAATTGCTAACCTTTGTGCTTGGAAAAATAGATGGTGTGTCAAAACGACATTTATTCTCTTGATGCCAGTATTACACATTTTTTTTTGACTCCCCCAGCAATATTTGTAATGATTAGAATGTTAATAAAAACCCAAACATATGAAAGTGCATTTATACATTTTCTTTATTCTTGAGAACTGACAACAAAGATGTTAAACACTATTTATTTATTAGTTTGTTTACAAGAATAATTTTATATATACAATATTATAAAAATATGTGAACCAACTGTAATGAAATATTTATTATTTACCGTTTCACAAAGAAATAAATATGAAAATAAATTTTTTTACATTATTCTGCCTATTGTCCTCATCTTTGTCGGCATATTTATCACAACGTTTCGGCCATTGTACGCTCCGGCCTTCTTCAGGTGGTTGGAATAAATTTTTTTTATTCATAAATTTAATGTTTGGGAACAAGAAAATTTAAATAAACACATAACTGTAATTATAAATTAAAAAATGTATTTTCTGGGATTTTCTCTTATTTACTCTCTCTACATAAATTCACTAAAATTGGTTAAGATCATCTCTTCCTCTGAACGAAACATTTTTTTTAATTTTAGATTTTAGACGAGACCACAAACACTGGATATTTTGAGTATGTATCTCCCTATTTATTGGGCAGATAAAGTTTTCCATGTGTTTAATTACAGAATGTTTAATTTTTACTGCAAATATTGTCATTGGTTTACATATTTTGTAATTTTTGATAATTTTTTTTTTTTTTTTTTTTTTTTGAAAAAAAATATATTTTCAAATTTATTTATTTTTTTTATTTTTTTTAAGAAATTCATGGGTCATACATAAAGTAGGTTTCTATACATGTATATGTGGTAATTAACAATTTTTATGCATTCTCCTTCTGTGAGCAATCAGTACTTAAATCTGTCATACTCAAATTTTGTGTGCATCCATTTGAAAACTGTCACATTGACCAAATGAAGTTTTATAATTGATATCTACTAGTATGACTGTTATTATGGAGTGCTGAAAAGTTCTCGGCTAATCGAAAATCTGGCCAAATATTATTTATTTTTATATTAAGTGCTTCTTGGTGAGACTGAGAACCTTTCTGCGCCCACTCATATATATATATATATATATATCTTGTTTGCTAGTGCTTCTGGTTTTGTATTCATTCTCAGACTGGCTTGTTGAAATCTTTATAAATAAGTAATTGTTTTGTTGATGGTTTTTAAAGTTGTTGAGATAATTAAATAAAGCCATTTTCTGCCCTGAAAGCGGTAACCACCTTAGCATTTAGATCACAGTTTGGGAATAATGGTGAGCAAGCACTGTTTGACACTAACAAGACTTATTATAGGCAAGAAGGGTAGAGAGAAACAGCAAGTAACCTACCAAATGAACTTGTGTAAATGGATGGCTGAAAACTGCCTTGTCATTCTTTTATCGTTCTTTGAAAGCTTGTTCAGAGCAATCAGTGGCCTTTTAGGATTCTTCCATGTGAATAGGAGTTCATTTTTTTGAATAATAAGAGTGTGGAGGAGGCATCAGGATTTTTAGAGATGCATAGGTGGAGTGTGGCCAAAAAATGGTGGGGAAGCACTGGTCTAATACAAAAGATAACTATTTTTTATTTTTAAATACTTAATATTAATTCTGTTCATTCATTCATTCCAGGATGCATTTCAATTATGAGACTGACTCTGCTGCTGCTGAAGCTAATGTGGATGTAGGTGACAAGGAGGAAGCTCAGATTGTGAGAAAATTTTGTGATGAGGCAGACCGTTCACAAACCATGCTCAATGGCTTTGCCCGGCTCTATGAAAAGAATCTGTTCACGGATGTTATCTTGTGTGCCGGGCGTAAAGAGTTTCCCTGTCACAAGAACGTGCTGGCCATCTCCAGTCCTTATTTCATGGCGATGTTTACCAACGATATGGCTGAAAAGAATCAAGAGAAGATAACTCTGCGTTCCATTGACTCTCAGACTGCTCAGTTAGTGCTTGATTACATCTACACAGGGACCGTTGTACTTTCGAAGGACACAGTCCAAGAGTTGTTATCGGCAGCTAACATATTTCAGTTGGTGTCCTTGAAGACTGGCTGTGCGTCGTTTATGATGAACCATGTCAACATCAGCAATTGCATTGGAGTTTATTTCTTCGCCCTTGCACATGGTTGCACCTCTCTGGCAAACGTTGCCAAGGACATTATCAATCAACAATTCTCTACCTTGTACCATGAGAACGAGTTTCTCTCTCTGCCGGCTGACAAAGTTGTGGAGATCATCAATGACGACGACCTGTGCATTAGCCAAGAGGAGACTGTGTACGAGGCCTGCATGGCATGGCTGAAACACAATCTTTCTGAGCGTATCGGCTCACTGGACATCATCTTGAACCATGTTCGTTTTGCCAATATTGACTCATACTATTTCTGTGATAAAATCGATTCGGATAAGACCCTGTTGAGCTACGAAAATGTTCAAAAGACACTGTGCAATGTGCGACTCTATTACATGTTAAAGAATCGGCATTTAGAGCTTGGCCTCAACTTAATGCCACGCAGTGGCATGAATTTCAAACGGGGCATTATCATCATTGCCAATCCCTATGCCGAAGATGCACAGCGAAAATACGGCGCCATGGAAATCTTGTTCCCTAAAACTGGCAGTGTTCGTTATGTTTGTAAATTACCTCAGGGACTTTGTACACCTGGTGAGTAAACATTTTTTACTATATGTGAAATCTGCTTCGTAAAATACACTGGGTGCATCCCATGATAAAACCTTCCAGCACCAAAAATAAATAAAAATAAAAGGAACCACCAATGAATTAAATACTATTATACTTGTAAAAAAAAAAATATATATATATATATATATATATATATATATATATATATATATATAAAAACAAAGTATTTATCTACCCTGAACCAATTAATACTTACAGGCTAAAATATAAATGACTGATATTTACCTATCATCAAACCGTGTAAATATCTACTCACACATATTGATAATTAATATAGGGACCTTTACACAAAAATCTAATAGCTAAGGTTTAAAAAGATTTTAAAAAATGAAAGGCCTTTCTTGAAGCTTTAATTTTAGTTTTAATTTTAAGCTAATAGATTAAATTTAATATTTCCAATAAGCAAAATTTTTTGCTGCATTTCAAAAACTATTTTAAATTGACTGAAAGGCGATTTTATTTTTTTTCTAAAAAAGATAGGCACTATTTTTTTCATTGCAGTGTTAACTCTCTACGTTAAAAAATCTTCCAAAAATACACTTTTCTGAAACTTTAACAGATGTAAAAAAAAAAAAATTAAAAAAAATAATTTCATTCATTTGTGAATAAATCATTAATTAAAATCTAACACGTATTTGATTTTTGCAAGAATTTTCAAAACTGTGTGTTTTTAGCACAAAAAAGATGCTAAATTTCCTAATACTAATCTTTGGCCCACTTTCTGATCCAATAAAAACAAGGATTTTTAACCAAAATTTTGAATGTGCTAGAAAGGATTAAAATATTTCATAAAATAATGAAAAAATGCTTTGGTCTTTCTTCTTTTTAATAATAACATAAACATTTGGACGTTAAAACTTTGTTTTTATCAAGTTTGGGGCCTTTTTTCATCATGCTATGCTCTTTTTTTAGTGAATTTTTGGAAATAGGAAAAGTAATATTTTCTTATTCCTAAATAAAGTGAATGATTATATACTAAAATATGGCTGATCAATATTTATCTTTCCCCGAACCATGTGAATGCTTACGGGCTGAAATCTAATTAACAAAAGATTTGTTAAATCAATTAATGTCACAAAATCAGTCAGTGATATATTTTTATTTCTCTTTTGATGTTTTATAAAATTTAATAAGTCTGCCCATATACAGGCATGTAAACTATTCCCTTGTGTACTTGAACTCGGTGGAAACGAGCGAGCAATAACTGAGCGATACTAAAAATAAGAACTAGATGAGATATCCCTAGACATGGGAAGTGGAACGAAAACAATCTACCTCCATGGATTAAATAATGGGTTCTGTTCAGGATTCCATGTAGGTTACCTTGAACGATGTACACCTGAGGAGGGTACAATAGCCAAAATGTTGTGATAACAAGAACAAAAATTCAGACAATAGTCCAAATATAAATTCGTCCTGGATAAGCTACATCTACATCTTGGGTAAGATGATAAACTACATCCAAGAGCAAGGCCTCTGATCATGAGGTTTTGAGGAGCATGAAATCACCTCTTAATTGTTGGTGTTCCCAGGTCCACCCTGACCTGAGGTGGTAGCACCTATCAGAGTCCCAGCTATCGGCAAATAGTTAACCCTCCCCACAAGAGGGGTCAAAACACTATGAAAGTATAAAAATAGGTTTTAATGCCAGCAATACTTTCTTGGAAAAATTATTACCAGCAGTACATTTTTGAAAAATATTAGCAGCAATACATAATTTGGAAAAAAAATATTAGCAGCAACAAAAATCTTCAGTCTCCTGAGATGAGGTATTATGTACACTATTTACATTATTTGGACTATTGTCCTCATCTTTGTCGCCATATTTATTACAACGTTTTGGCCGTTGTATGCTCCGGCCTCCTTCAGGTGGTTGGAATGTCAAACTGAACCCTTTATTTTGCTCACTGGAATAGACTGTTCTAGTTCCACATGCCATGTTTAATGGATGTCGGTTATCAGTTATCGCCTGTTAATTCCCCTCTCCAAGTTTTCCACTGCCTTCACCGGCAGTCTAATGAACGCCTTTGTCCACAGTGGATAAAGACCCAGAGAGTGTGAGTTCAATACCCGGTTGGCCAAAAACTGCTGCACAAACTATGGTCATTGATGGATCGTAAGTGATGATGACCACACTCTACACACTTTCCTTCCAAACACTGCTGTAAATAGCATAAGTGAGCAAGAATGTTATAATTCTGTGTGCAACGTGACAGAGTTCAAGGTCAATCTGTGCCATGCAGTTTCACTCACTTTAGCTATGTTACCATGGCAGGAGTCCTGATACTTTTTGATCAGACCTTGTAATTATAGTTCAGATATATAGAAAAAAGGTGTTACTGGCACCAAGAGAATATGGTTTCAACAGCAGCCACCTTTCTTTTTTTTCTTTTTCTATATACTTTAGCCACTTTGTTTAAAGTTTGTATTTTCTTGATTTCAGAGGAAAACTGGAAATTTTTCCAACACATTTCGGTGAAATTTTCACTTTCCAAAATCATACTTTAGATATATATGGTAAAATAGAAAGCATCAGTCTGAATTGACGTCAGGAGGATACACATATCCAGGGCTTTCTCACACCTGTTTAAGGAACACCTTTCTGTTTGACCATGTCTTCAGGGGTGTAGCTATACTTGTCACACTTGGGCAATTGCAGGTTGTTAAGGCTATTTAACACATACACCCTTTTGCAAATTAATTGAAACAACTGCTTTAGTTTACTTTCTTTGACTATACAGTCAGTTTTAGACACACTGGAGTGACAGGGTGTAATTGCTTTCTGTTTTTTCCCCGATTAGGTCATTTGCAGTGGTGTGCAGTAATATGAATCTGTTTTCGGGGTGTATGATGAAATTTATTTCACCTTGAAAAATATTGCATCATCCATGATTGCATCAGATATTTATCATGCCCAGGCACTATTGTTTCGACTGTTGATTAGTTGTCCTATGGCAATTGTGTCTGCAATGGATGTTACTCCAAGGATGCATACAAAAATTGTAACACTGCACGACCACACTGGCAAGCCTTACCACTGAGCAAATCAAAGTACTATAGACTGGCTTGGAAACTCCTCTGAGAATCTGTGGTCAATCTGCAAGGAACGACTTTGTCGAATGGACATATGAAGTACTAACATGTGCACTGGGTCATGTTTCATTAGAAAAATATGAAAAAAAGTAAATAATGACGGGATTATTCATTTTGTTTCAATTAATTTGCAAAAGGTTGTAGGTGGGTTGGATGACTGTTGACTCTGAGGAGTTCATCCGCCCTTTAAAAGCTTGTTTTTTTTTTATGCTGAGGTTCCATTTACCCTCCTCATCAGACTAGGGATCTGGTGGGGGTAGCCAATTTAGTCGCTGACTATTCAACCACTCAAGTTTTGATTTCAGAGTTGTCCTTCTATATTGGTTGCCACCCAAGGCTATAGGACTCTGTATTACTATTTATCCATAGCTGGGGGGGAGAAGAGATGGATTCATACTTTTCTCAAGGGTATTGGCATGTAATGTAACAAACCTGACTGGAATTCAAACTCTGCCCTCCGATTCCTCAATCCAAGCTGTTATCCATTACCCCACAGTGTCTCCATAGGAGGATCATCATCAGTCATTTGACTGCTTCAATTGTCTGGGGTACCTAAGAGTAGAAGAAATGGACAACCTCCTATAGGATGATCTGTTGGCCGTGACTCTTGGTATTTCTGGCATTGTCATGTCCGTCCACACTTTGAAGTTGCCTGAACTCGCTCTTGCATTGCTATACGTGCTTACGTCTACCATCAACAGTCCCTTGTATGATGTTCTTGCAGAGGTTATGCTGTGTGACAAGGCCAAAGCATGCCATCTTCCAATGCTGAAGCGATTGCTGTTGATCAATTAGATTTTCAACCTTGTTCTGTACATAGTCACACACACACACACACACACACACACACACACGATTTAGGAATTCAGTATAGATGTAAAAGTTAATTTTCTCAACTAATGTATTGGATGCCATATAATCCCATCCATACCTTTTTATTAATTTATTTTTCACAAACAGTACCTCTCGGGTCTTGTATGAAGTTAACGGTATTTGGCATAGGTTAGTTTACCCAAGCACTATAGACTGCCAGTATTTGTGTCTGTCCCAATTTCATAACAACATATTAAATATTTATAAGTCTACTGTTTGCCCATGCTTAGAATATTGTTGCTGTATATGGTCTGGTGCTCCTGCTATGTAGTTGGAGATTCTTGATAAAATCCAAAGGTGAATCAGCAATATTATTGGTCCTGCTCTGGCATCTCATCTTCAGTTACTTTCCTACCACCGTAAAGTTGCCTCCATGTGACTTTTCAATAAATACTTCCATGGCAACTGTTTGGATGATCTCTTTGTACCTAGACTTTATGAATTTAAGCACAGGACTGGGCTGATGTCAAGGTCTCACTGATATACAGTTGTTGGCTCTGTGTATGTATGTGTTCTACATTAACAGTTTCTTTTCTTGCAATTTTTGCTTGTAGAACTCTCTTCCAGCTCCATGCTTTCCAGTTAACTTTAATATTCAAAAATTTAAATGCAATGTCAATTGCTTTCTACCATCCTCCTGATTACTCTTCTTTTAGTCTTAATCCTTAGTAAAATTTCGGTTTTCTAATTCTTTCACACCCAGTAACCACTTCTGTCTTAGTGGCTTTACTGCAATCAAATACGGTAAGTAATCTTTTATTTTATTTTGGTTTAATTTGAATAAATTTTCTGTTTAATTTTAGGATGTGCTGTGACAGGCGATAATCAAATCTACGTAGCTGGTGGTACATTACGTAAAGTTAATTACCGAGGTTCTCAACCTGAGGGTCTGTCAAGTAATTTGGTCATGTTTGATCAAGTTAGTGCAACCTGGGTGGTCAAAGCTAGAATGAAAAGTGCTCGTTCTCAGTTTTGTCTTACGGTTGTCGATGGGTAAGTCACCGTCTTTTTGATTTTTACTTAAACTCTTCTAATCTAGTACGATTGTTTAACTTTATATACTATCTCTGTTTATGAATGTTATCATTGGAAGAATTTAATTGAAACTTTGCTATTTCTCTTTCTCTCATTTTATTTTTCGTTTGCTCTGATTTGTATTTTTTATGTTTTTTGTATTAATCTAACCCATTCATGCTCACCATCCTGCAAAGGTGGGCCTTAATGGTTTATAGGAAGGACAGGGAAAAATTGGGCTGAGATCTAACTAATGCTAGTGATGAGGTAAATTTGAGATCCTCTGTCGTGTCAGGCAGAACCTACCTTGCTTTTTGCTTACAGCCATATTATGTTGAAACACTGCTTCCTGTATGATCACCAAAGTTAAGCCACATCAAGCCTGATCAGTACCTAGATGGGTGACTGCTTAGGAATACCAGCTCTATAAACTTGGATGTGTGAGAGATGTAATGGATGACAACTTGTAATTTGTTAAATGGAGAGCTGAGTTCCAATTCCAATTTTTTTTTTTTTTTTTTTTTTAATGAGTGGAGCAGTCTTTATATATATATATATATATATATATATATATAGCTGTAAGCTTGGATGTGTGACTGGTGTAATGAATAATGGTTTGGAATCGTTAATCGGAGAACAGTTTCAATCCCAGTTGAGTTCATTATATTCACTTGTGCACAAATACCCCTTAGCTATGGGTTAATTTGTAAATTTGTATCATTTAAATCATTATTATCTCCTCCCGCCCCATGCCTCAAATTCTTACAATCTAAAAAAAACATTTTCTGGTTTTAAAAAACCTGCAAATGTTGATAAGCTGTAAAAATGAATCTATCAATCAATCTGGTTGAGCTATAGTAGTAAAGTAGTAACTTATAGTAGTAAAGTAGTAACTTATAGTAGTGACTTATAGTAGTAAAGATGAAATATAATGTGACATTGAGCTAGCTGTAATGAAAATTTATGCTCCTAGTCTCTTAGGTTATTGGGTTTAATTTTGATCCTAACACCAAGTAGGGGTTTAAAACTAGATATGCTTTCTATTAATTAAATGATAAAACCTTACAGAAAGATGGGAATAGACTGTCTTGACTGATGATTGCATATGGTTAGTTTTGTCAAGACCTCCCTCAAGGCATGACAATTGTCAGAATAAAATTAAAAACCATTAATTTTTTTTTTTTTTTTTTTTTTTTTTTTTTTTAGAAGAGGTGTATGTTTCATAATATTAATAAAGTGTAAACTCCATCTCTGAGTTTTTACAGGGGTATTGAACAGTTATTCCATCTAACAAACCAATTTTTTTCATTACAAGAATGTTTCTTTTAACTAAGAAACAAATGGATAGATAAATATTTTGATTAAAGAACCAAAAATTGCATAAAGAAAAGTATATCTTCATTTATTCTTCACTTAAGACAATTATTTTCCCCCACCCAATGTTTGTTCATGTACATCCCAAAAAATAGCCCATCACCCCACCCACCTCCTTTTTTTTTTTTTTTTTTTTTAAGTTTAAAAGTAAAGTTTAAAATTTAGGAGATTAATAATAAAAAAATGGTAATGTATGCACAATTTCAAACTTGATATTTGCAAATAACAATTAAGTCCATTAACTCTGTTCGAAGACAGTGATTGATTTTACACTGTATGGATATTATGAATAGGGCTCCCACTTCTAAATCCATAAAAAAAACAATTCTGGCACATGTCATGGCTTGGAAAGTCTAACCAATGTTAATCTACAAAAATTATTGACCAAAAAAATCTTGCCTATTGTTTTTGAATGGACCACTCTTTTTAAGTAGTGCCTATTCTCAATTAAAAATTTGATATCAAACTTGTGATATTTTAAACTATCAGAATTTCTCTTTTTTTCGTGCAGTTACATGTATGCTATTGGTGGCCATGATGGTACTGAAGTCCTTAGCAGTGTGGAACAATACAACTTCCAGGCTAATGAATGGTCATCAGTGGCCAGTCTTCCGCAACCACTCCGCTGTTTGACCTCTGTTGCTTTCCGGGGAAATCTTTACGTCTTTGGTGGTGAAAGTGTCAATCAAATCAGTGACAAATGTTACAAGTGAGTTTTTTTTTTTTTTTACTGACATGTCTTTATTCTTCTCTTGTATGTGCGTTTCTTCCATTTGATCAAAAAAAGAGTTGTTCATTGGATACCCACCCAACATCCTCATATGTTTTATATACATTATTGAACATGGATTAATTTTGGAAAATGTCCTCTTGATTAAAGTATCAAGTTCAAATTCTGGGCTTTTCTGTTGCTGTTGAGAAAGCCATGAATCTATTTCTTCTCTCCCCACTTATGGATTAAATAGCAAGTAGACTGGGCTCTGTATCCTTGGATACCCATCTTCTAAGAGACATTCCATCTTAAATAAATCAACAAAAATCTCAAGTTGATGTTAAAAATTGCTTCTATGGCAATTTTAAACATCAACTTTCAACTTGAGATTTTTCTTGTTAAAAAGTTGAATAATTTTAATGTATTCATCATTGTGAATAAAAAATAGTGAATTTTATACAGTGTTTTTTGTACAGACTTGGTATGCGCAAAATTCACAGATTTGGACAAAGCAAAGACCCCAGAATGACATTGAAATCTGCAAAAAATTTTTCATCCTTTAATAGTTGTGCTTAGTTTAATTTGTGACATATATAAAAGTAGGTAGAAAAAAAAAAACCCAATATTTATATGATAATAAGAATCACAAAGCATTGCCAAGGCTACTCAATCAGACTCCCTATCCAGGCAGGGGTTTTGGGTGTAGTATGCACTGGCCCTGGTCATGATCACCTCTGTCCTGAAAGGATATGGCATTTAAAAAAAAAATTGCAACCAGGGAGAATTGAAATGCAAATGCTTTTATCAAGTGGCATCTTATCAGAATCTATTCAATGATAAACACAAGCAATCTTCTTATTTATTCTTCCATGGTTATTACACTCACCTTTGTGCAAATACCATTTAGAAAGGTATGAATCTCCCCCAGCTATGGGTTAAATAATAAAACTTGTATCTGTGAAAAAAGCATTGTTAATGCAATATTCACTTGCAAAAAAAAAATATTCTTACAATCAAAAATGTTTTGGATTTAAATAAACTATAGAGGTTTGATTAGCTATAAAAAAAAACCCAAAATCATGATTTTTAAGGAAATAATATTGGAATTAAAGCCGTCTCCTTCTATGTGACTTGTCTCTTCAGGATGTTGGGCAATCATGGCTCTCCTGTTCTTTGTAGCTCTTAGTAAATTTTGTCTTTTTTGCCATCTCTCCTAATTCCTGTTCTGCCAACCATTTAAACAAACTCATTGGGTAGTGTGTGTGTGTAAATGGTTGAAATTGTAAAGTGGAACTCAACACAGAAATATGAAGTAATGGTGACTAGCACAAGCAACACCAGTGCCAATGACGACAAACCATGGGAGGAAGTGTCCCGCTTCAAATACTTGAGAACGACCTGGTCAAAAAAATCTGCACACAAATCGCTACAGATGGGCAGCCTGGAAAGGATGGAAGAGCAACATCAGCTTTCATATTAACTTCAAGCTTTACAAATCACTAGTCATGTCCATCCTCTTCTATGGGTGTGAGACTTGAATAGGCATTTGAGAAAAAATGCTTGAGAAAATTCTTCTATATTTCCTATGACGGAGCAATGTCAAAATTCTTGTGGGCTGACAAGAATCCATTCTTGCCATTACTAAGCATTAGAAGATGTCATAATTTTATAGTTTGTACAACTGCTACTTTTTGAAGTTAAACGTGTCACATACTTTTTTTTTTTTTTTTTTTTTTTTTTTTTGGAAGTTGTTTTATTTGACAATTCCCTTATTTACTTGTGGTGACATTTGTTTTCAGATATTGTCCCAAAGCAGATCGGTGGACAGAGCTTCCTCCCATGTCTACTCCAAGAGCACTTTGTGGCAGTGTTGTCCATAAAAATAAAATCTATGTTATTGGTAAGTAAAAAGTTTTTTACTTTTTGCTCGTTGTCTTTTATTTTTAAGCACAAATAAAGTTTTTTTTTGCAAGGTATGGATTTCATTAAAGCATTGCTTTATGAATTTCATAATTATGACTTCAATCCCTGGGTCTTGTAGTATAGTCTCAGACTCTGTAGAAACAGAACAGTTGTATTTTATGTCAGTTCTTTAGACTACATCTCATAGACCAACAGACAATCTTTTTTTTTTTTTTTATATTTTCATTTTCTATATTTTTTTTTTCTTGTGTATATATATATATATATATATAATATATATATATAGATAGATTAAGGTTTAATCTCCCTCCTCCTCATACTTACACTCTCTCTAAATTCTGTTTTTATTTCTGGAGTTGTTTTTTTTTTCTGTTTTCTTTTTGAATTTGTAGGTCTGATGAATTGGATCGTATTTAGGATTCCATTGGAATAAATTATGACCATGGAATATTAATGTTTACGCCTTTTTTATTATATATATATATATATATATATATATTTTTTTTTTTCTTGTTGGTTTAACTGTGATGCTGACAAGTTTTTAAGGTAGTGAGTTCTCAGAACCCACATTGGTAATTTGGTTGGCTCCCTGGGAAATTTAGTGCATCCCAACTAAAGTGTCTTAATAGATTGTGTTCAACTTCAGGGCTACAGACTAAAACAAATTTTAAAAAAAATTAAATTAGTAAATTCAATACAAAAACTTTATTTACACTTACTCACAGTTCAATTAAGAAACTATATTTTTTTGAGAATTATGACAAAAACTGTTTATATTGATAAAACAAAAGGCTTTTTTTTTTTTTTTTTTAATTGATTCAATAAAATTTGAAACAAAACCAGTATTTGCTTAATCACAGTTCAGTTAAAACTATTTTTTGTGAATTATGAGATTTTTGTTTTAAATTGACATAACAACAAAAGCTTTTTTTTTTTTTTTTTTCTTTTTTTTTTAATTTAAATACAAAAATAAATTATATCCTACCCTGACCCTGAACCAAGAAAGTGTCTGGGAAAGCGACATTGATGCTTATTTCATGCCACCTGCCCAATCCACTAAGCAATGAAAGAAGGAAAGGATAAATGAAAGAAAAAAAAGGAAGAACACATAAAAAGTATTTGCAGGAATAACATCAAATGATTAGTGCATTGTTTATCTATCTATATATAAAATTTTGTGACTTCTGTTTGTCTGTCAGTCACACCCTCTGAAATATCTATACATTGACCGATTGAAACCAAATTTTGGTGAGAAGTGCAACAAATCTGTAAGTGGGTACAAAGTACAATTGCTTTTACTAGGGTGTGTAAAAACTGCAATGTAGGATTTTTGTCAAAGTATTTTTCCAAACAAATCAGCTTGTTCAAATTTCATTGATTGGTTTGCAAAATTGAATGAAATGTAGAGATAACTTCATCAATACTAAATACTGTAAGGAGTTTAACATGCACCATCGTGTTTCAAAAATATTGAAGTTATTTAAAATTACCAAAAAAATATTGGGCTCCCAACAATCTGTATCGGACCATACTGGAAAATTTCTTTTGTCTGAAGAAAATTTTTTGAGCCCTGTTAAATGTTATTTGAACCGTAAACTGAATATTAAAAATCAATGTCTGTATATATTTCTAATATGCTTCCGACTTATGTAATATTTAAAAATTATTAGATTTTCTGAGAGTTTCTGTTTAAATTTCTGGGATGAGGAATTATTATTTATACTATTTATATCTGGATTATTGCCCTCATCTTTGTTGATGCTGGAGGGGAATTTGAGCAGTTTGTACTTACACTCAGGGAATTGATTGATTTTTCTTTTCTTCAGCTTTTCAACACTTTGCAGGTTGTTTAAAGCCAAGAAAATATTTTTACATTGTAAGAATTTTCTTTGTTTGAGATAATAATGGTTTAGTAATACAAGTCTTACTAATTAACCCATAGCTGGAGGGAGAAGAGGTGGATTCATACCTTTCCCAAAGTTATTTTGAATGTAAGTGAATATAAACCCCAACTGGAACTCAGCTCTCTGATTAACAATTCCTATTCCTATTCCATTACACCACCTGCACATCCAAGCTTACTGCACATGGTATTCACAAGTGGTCACCCATCTAGGTACTGACTAGGCTCAATGTTGCTTAAATTCAGTGTTTCAGCATGATGTGGCCCTAAGCCTAGACTCTGTGGAGACAGGGTTAGCAAAAAGTGAGCTGTACCAAAAATAAGAACTAGATGAAATATACCGAGATATAGGGGCAGTGGAACGAGAAAAGTCTATCTGCATAGATTAAACTGTTCAGTTCAGAAATCCCTGTAGTTCCCAGATTGACATACTCCTGATGGAGGCTGAAAAACACAATGGCTGAGACACAAATTAAGATGAGGACAATAGTAATATTGAAAAGAAAATGTATCTGTAGAGAACCGTGATCTGATCACTTACATCTGGTAAGGACCTGACATTAAAAAAAAAAAAATAAAGTTCCATTTTTTTTTCTATTTGTGACTTTGTAATGTTAGCAATTTGAACATGTATTTATAAATTCACTAGCAGCATGGCCTGGCATTGCCCGTGCTTGATTCAAAAATCATACGACTCGTACAGTAATCGCTATCACTTGACTTAAAATATTTTTGCTCTTCCTTGCCTTTAAAGGAGTGCCCTTTGCCATGCTGATGTTGCTACATGCCTTACTTCTTGCCTATCTCACACTGCAAATTTTTTCTAAGCTCTATATTAAACATTCAATCTGTTACGGAAAAAGAACTAAACAAAATGAACACAAAACGATCAGCTTTAAAAAAGGACTCAGAACTGGAAAAAACCGAATGAAAAAGAATGTTAACGACAAATACTTTTTCATGCCCAACCCAATTCTCTTGGAATCAGAATCAACGTTGAGTTTAAGCAAGCAAATGAGCCAATTGGAGTAAAGTGCCATGCAGATTTAAATTTTTCCCACTTGTGATGAATGCAGCTATCGATTTTTTTTTTTTTTTTTTTTTTTTTTTTTTTGCATGCTAGTTAACATTCGTGTCAGTCAGCTGTTGGCTCTATGCTGGCCAATAGAATCTTCCTGCCTATTTGTGGCAGCCAGCTATAGGCTCTCACTCTGGCCAGTACAAAATGGCTGCAAACTACATGAAAACTGCCGTAGAAGCATGAAAAAATTGATTATTTCCACTATCGATGGGAGTTGGGAAATGCAAGGTTGGTCTTGGCCTTCCTGCTAACTTGGAGCATGTGCATGTAAATTTTGGTGCAAATCCATTGAAAATTGTGGCCATGCATTCGTTACACACACAGACACACACACACATCCTGCTTTTCTAGATAGAGATTATTTTTCACTCTCAGTTTGTATGTCAGCAGTCTTTTTGGTGGCATAGTAATTAGTAGTGTTGGTTAGTATGTACTTGGGAATAGTGGAAATGTGGTGAGCAATAACTGAGCAGTTGTAAGAATAAGAACTGGATGAGATTTCTCTAGACATGGGCAATGGAACAAGAGCAGTCTACTCCTGTAGATTAAACGAAGGGTTCAGTTCAGTATTCCCTGCAAGTTACCCAGCTCAATATACACCTGAGGAAAGTCACTGTGTACAACGGCTGAAATGTGATGATAACAGCAAAGATGAGAACAATAGTCTGAATATAAATGATATAAATAATGATTTTCTGAGAGGTAGAAAATTATTATAAAATTTTGTATTCATTATATGATTCTTTACCCATGACATTAGTCAGAATTTAAAAATATTGTTTTTTTTTTTTTGAAAAGAGGTGTCCTGCTGTTCATAATATAAACACAATGTCAAATATCAATCCCTGACTACTTAAAGAGATTTTTAGTTTGTTTTTATTTGCAAATGTCAAGTTTGAAACTATGCTTATGTCATTGATAACTGCATACGTCTGATGTTATCCTTTTACCCAATTCATAGCAGCTTTGTGGAAACTGACTTCCAAGAAGATGCTTCTACGATCACTATATTCTTGGCCTGTTCAAGTCTAGAGTTGACTGTTATCTTCCCCACATATCACCATAAACTGTGCCTCTTACTCTATAATGCTCTACCTTGAGTGACTCTTGGGTCTTGTTCAGAGGGAACATCAGTGTGTTAAAAAAAAAGAAGAAAAATGTAGATTTATCAATGACGTAAAAGTTTAAAACTTTATATCAATAAAAAAAAAATGTATGGATATCTGTTTAAGAGATCAAGAGTCAACTTGACATTTATATTGTTAGCAGGATTCCCCTCCCCTATTCTAAAATTAAAGAAACCAATATTTTTCCATTCTAACAAATGTTACAGTTTGAGTTGATAAGCTGTAGAAAATGAATCGATCAATTGGCCCAACCATGAAGCCTGTCCAAAACAAAAAATTCTGATGTTTAGTAATTCGGTCAGATTTTTGAAAGCCAAGAACATTTCAACACAATCTCCAAATATATAATCATACATAATGCACGTTAAAAAGTTCCTTTTTTTTTTTTCTACTCTGTCCTTATTTGTCTATCATCCTGTCCTTTTAGTAACTACACAAAATATAGAATGTCTGAATTTTTGATGAAACTCTCTTATATAAATAACAATATAAAATTTTGTTTTCATCAAGTTTGGGGCCTTTTTCATCATGCTATGCTCATTTTTTTAGCAAAAAGTAGAAATCCCTCCTGTAAACCATTTAAGGTCATGGCTCTGGTTTATTTTAGTCTTATTTTGTGACACACACACACACACACACACACACACACACACACACACACACACATACATGTTGACGTACACCTAAAATGTAACCCTCAGCGTTTGTTGACAACTCTTTATCATTGACATGTCTAGCAACACACCTATCACTTCTGAAAATTTTAATTATTATCCAATTAGTGCTCCCTCCAAATCATTATTTTACAATATAAAAAATATAAAAATATTACCAGCAATACATTTTTAAAGAGAAAAAATATCATCAGCAATAAAAAATTGTCAGCATTAAATAACTCATTGATTTTGAAATGCTGTAAAACAAAGCAAACCAAAATTAACTGATGTCTTTAGAAATGTAGAAATGATGAATATTGGTCGGCTTGTGACTGTCGCAAAATAAAATAAAAATTACCAAAAACTGTGTAATTTGAAGATTTCCAATTTGGCATCAACTTAAATACACTGACAATTGTAAAAAGGTTGTTTTTCTTTTCCTAACTTGCATTCTAGTTCTGTAATTTGGCATATTTTTTTTTTTTTTTTTTTTTTAGGTGGTAATGCAGCTGTGAGTGAAAAATGGCGCTGTGAATTCATTCCTGAGCATTGTGTCAGTTCTGTAGATATTTTTGATCCAGACACCGAGACTTGGTCTTCTGGTCCAGAGCTTCCCAATGCATTGTGTGGAGCAGGTAAGTTGTCAAAAGTAATTAAAAAATTTATGTATGTATGTATGTATGTGTATGTATATCATAAGATATAGTTTTAAGGTATGCTGTATTTATGGGTAAAAACGCTCAATATCAGTGATAGAGCATGTATAAATATAAAGTCAACATCAAGTGGTGACAGTTTCTTGCTTGAATGCAGTCTTCGGGCCATTAAATAAAGATTGCATACAAGCATGAAACAGGCTGTAGCCACTTAGTGTTGACCACAGTGTTTACTTAGATATAAATAAATATAAAAGTAAACATTGAAATCACCACTCAGAGGCGGCAGACTGTTTCATACTAGATGCAATCATCAGGTCTGAAACAGTCTGGGTGTTGACTCCAATGTTCACTTTTATATTTACATATGCTCTATCTCTGATATTGAGCACTCTATCCCATAAATATAGTACACTTTAAAACTATGTTTCTACACACATATATATATATATATATATATATATATATATATATATATATATATAATTTTTTTTTTGTTTTGTTTTTTTTACCTGATAATTCATGGATTTAAATAATTGTTGCTATGTACTCTGGATTAATTACCTGATACCTTGTGCTACCCACTACCTTTACAAAAGGCAGATCAGGCCTAAAATGACATAAGTTGCCATATATTAGTCTGGAGCTGCCCAGCCTTCACTTCCCAATCTTGGAATTCCATGTCTTTGTGGGTGACAAATTATTTTCCACCCTACCACCTCTTTCCCAAAACGTTGCAAGACGCTTGTTGCTCTATTGCAATTTCCATGGAAAGTGAACAAATGAACTTCATTCTTTAGCTCAACCAGTTCTAACTTTCATGGCTAAGACATGCCATGCTATACAGATTGTAGCAAAGCCCCCCCCCCCTCATTGCATTTGTATTCCATTTGTGAGATGTAAGTTCCACTTGAGCAGCTTGGCTCTGGGGAACAAACTATTTTTTTTCCTCTTCTTTCTTTCTTTTTTTCTCTTTTTTTCTTTATTCTTTTTGTCTGTTTTATTCACTTTTTCTTTTTATTCTTGTTTTCTCTCGCTTTCTTTTTTCTCTCTCTCTCTTTTTCTCTTTCTCTCTCTCTCGCTCAGTGCTTTTTCTCTCTCTCTCTCTCTCGCTTTCTCTCTCTCTCTCTCTCTCTCTCTTTCTCTCTCTCTCTCTCTCTCTCTCTCTCTCTCTCTCTCTCTCTCTCTCTCTCTCTCTCTTCCTCTCTCTCTCTTCCTCTCTCTCTCTTTCCTCTCTCTCTCTTCCTCTCTCTCTCTTCCTCTCTCTCTCTCTTCCTCTCTCTCTTCCTCTCTCTCTCTTCCTCTCTCTCTCTTTTCCTCTCTCTCTCTTTTTACCTTTTGCAACTTCTGCTTTCAGGTTGTGTAAGTTATGATGGGAAAGTGCTGACTGTTGGTGGTGAGGACGACAAGAGTTGGATGGCTGGCCTGTGCTGGTTGCAGGAGGAGAAGGGCCAAGAAGTGTGGATGGAAGGTGAGGAACTGCCCACTGTCATGAGCACCTTTGGCTGTGTCGTAGCCAATCTCATAAAGCAACTGAACCTCAGTTGAGACAGCAAGCAAAACCTTGGACGATTCAATCAGTTCTGTCAGCCGTCATGCCTGTTTGCCTACCTCCCATTTTTGCTGTTAATTCTACAATTCTGAAGGACACTGTTCCCCAAAACAGTTGCTCTTCCTGTCATGACCTTCCTACAGTGACCTTGTGGGTGGAATAGCAAGAAATTGTATTGTTACTTGAGGTGAAGGACATGGAAAATGTAGGAGAGACATTTTTAATGCTATCTGTGGCCTAGATTATCCTAGGTGATTTTTTTGTTGGTTTTTTTTTTTTAAGTTGTGGTTCTCTTAAATGGTGATTTTTTTTTTTTTTTTTTTTTTTTTTTCCTTTCTCAACTTGATCATTGTTCAAAGAAATCATACTACAAAAAAAGTCTATATTTTTTTATAATTTCTAACGATGACATTGGGATAAAAAGTATATATCCTGTCATCATAAAGCCCAAAGTAAAATGTTGAATTTTAAATTAAATACTGTTTATGTTCCATTCATGGTTGTTTTTTTTTTTTGGCAGGCCTCCATATTGGCAAAAAAAAAAAAAAAACCCAAAAAAACCCTGCCTGCCATTTCAAAATATTTGAAAAGCTGTAACATATTTCTGGGGAGGGTTTGTTTTTTTTATATATATACAGTTGTTGTCTAATCATTGATTTTTATCATCTGAAAAAATCACTAATGTAATACACAAGATTTTTTTTTTTTTTTCGCTCTTGTCAGTATATTCATTTTGACTGTTATACAGGATTTGACAGAAATACCTCCCACATTTTAAAGGTTGATAAAAATATCCAAGTAAATTCTGTTAAAAAAAATTATTTCACTGTTGTTTAAACAAAGGGCTACAGTTTTTATTCATTTGATTTTAAAAATCACATCCTCCAAATTGTGGCCCTTATTCGCCATACACAGTTGTAGATGATTTCTAAAGGTTCCCTTCACCCAGAATTTCAAGTGCGACAAGGTCTTCCAGGTGGCTTTCTTTTAAGCGCTGAACCTGTGGTCTGGAAATTTTCAACTTATAGCCATATTGATTTTCTAGCATCCTTCCGACATAACATGAAATGAACCGGAAAAGCCCTCTGTGTTGCAATTAGAGATCGACCAGCCTTTAAAAAAAAACAAAAAAAAAACGAAACGTTTCAATGGCAAACGTCCAAGCCCTGATGCTATCTGGTGAGAAAAAAAAGAGTAACACATTAGCTAGATGAAAACACCATTGCCACTTGCTTATGTTTACTTGCACCACACAGATGACAGTTTAAAATGCAGGAGGTATTTCTGCCACACCCTCTATAAAGAAAAAGAGGATAATGTCTTTGTTATTTGAAGATGAGAATGAATTATCATTTGCACGTGTCAACTGCTTGTTTCCTGGAAGACACACAGTATCATGTCTGTACTAAGCTGAATGTTTTTTGTTTCACTTAATTCCTGACTCCCATTTTAAATCTTGTTACACCCAAATGTACACATATTCTACTTACTGTTCTTGTTGGAGTTTGGGAGCAAAAATGAAGCAACAAAATTCTTGCTGCTTGAATTAAGAAAAGAGTTAATTGACTTCAAGATGTTTCCTTTACATTTTGTCAGGTCAATTAATTTTTAAGTTAGTTAAAATAAGTATAAATTTGGATAAAATCTCAAGAATTTAATCTGTAGCATCCACTTTATTTATTATTCCTTTTTGAAATATGTAATTATGGATTAATGAAATTTCTGGATACATCAGGTTTGATCTGGATCCATTGTATTTTCCTGTGGTTTCTTTTTCATTTTCAATGGCTTCTCATAGTCTGTAATTTCCTCAACTAAGCTTAATTCCAGCATTTCTGATTTTGCTCATAGACATTTTCACTTTAAGTGAATAATCCCACCTGTTAAATGAAAATAATGTTGTTTTTTTTTTTTTTTTTTTTTTTTTTGCTTAATGGGAAATAATGGAGAGTGAGACCTTTTTTTTTTTTTTTTTTTTTTTTTCTTGTAATATTACTTACAAGTTCTATTTAATAAAAAAAAAAGAAAAGAAAAAAAGGATTCATCACATTCTGTATGCTTAAAAACAAAAACAAAAAAAAAAAAATGAATCTGTAATTATTTTGTAAATTAGTTCATTTTGTCGTGTGTGTGTGTATATATATATATATATATATATATATATATATATATATATTGGGGAAAAATGTATGATAAAGGGGAAAAAGTTTTCTTGTGATGATTTTCATTCTTTAAGACTTCATCAAACTAAATTTGTTATGTTGTTACGATTACACATGTGCACGAACAAGGGATGAATTTTGAATTTATTTTATTTTTTTTTTTTTCAGTCAGCCGATTTCATTTAGATTTCACACACAGTTAATAACATAAATCGACAGAAAAATTTGTGCCCTGGCTCTTACAACAATTCAATATTCCAGGCAGAACTTCTATTATCACAGTGTGGGATATCTAATAATAAAAGTAATGAAAACAAATAGAATGTAAATGAAATCAGCTGATTTAAAAAAAATAAAAATAATTCCTAGAGTCCCTCGTTTGTGTGCATTTCAACATAAACTTAGTCGGATGAAATCTGAAAGGATGAAATGTGTTGTAAGAAAACTTTTCTTCTTTTGTCATACATTTTTCCCTAATATTGTTCTTGATATATAAAAATATATATCGTTATCTCCATTCATATATATATATATATATATATATATATATATATATATATATATATATATATATATATATATATATATAGTAACCCTACTCATTTGTGAGAATGTATATGCTTTTTGGTAAATTAGGTGAGTATGTAATATTATGAGGGCAAATAATCTTTTTGATGCCAGTAAGCAATTTTATCTTTATAAAATAAATTGTTCTATTGTCGTGGGAAAAAAAAAAGAAGTGAGATATTTATTTTTTTAAAATGTACTTGGATTTTTTTTTTTTTTAAATTTTTTTCCTTGATTTCATTTTTGTTTCCTGTGTCTTAAAACTGTTTCATCAAGTGAACTCTTTGGTCTCTTTCAATTTTATTTCCCATCAATTTTATATGCTAATCATCCTGTCAGTATTTATTCTGTGGTAGCCAAATTTAGGTTACAAATTGAATGGTTGTTCAGCTCTATACTTTGTTCATTTTGGTCAACTGATTTCAGAGACGGGCAGATAATCAAATATGTTTTTTGGTTGAATGAATGTCTTTTTTGTTTGTTTTTTTTTGTTTGTTTGTTTTTTTTTTTTTGTTTTTTTTTTTTTTGTTTGTTTGTTTGTTTTTTTTTTGTGTTTTTTTGTTTGTTTGTTTTTGTTTGTTTTTTTTTGTGTTTTTTTGGTTTTTTTTTTGTTTGTTTGTTTTTTTTTTTTTTGTTTGTTTGTTTGTTTGTTTGTTTTTTTGTTTTGTTTGTTTGTTTGTTTTTTTGTTTGTTTGTTTTTTGTTTTGTTTTTGTTTTTTGTTTTGTTTTTTTTTGTTTGTTTTTTTTGTTTTTTTTTTGTTTGTTTGTTTTTTTGTTTGTTTGTTTTTTGTTTGTTTGTTTTTTTGTTTGTTTTTTGTTTTGTTTTTTTGTTTTTGTTTTGTTTTTTGTTTGTTTTGTATTTTTTTATGATACTAGCGTTTTGCTGATTAATAGTTTTTCAACTATTCTGTAAAGAAATTTTATGTTAAAATTTGGATTCTAGGCAACTGATTCCTGCTTATGGGTGCCTTGGTATGGGCAAATTGTCAGTGAGATGACTTTTCTTTCTTTCTTTCTTTCTTTTTTTTTTTTTTTTTTTTTTTTTTTTTTTTCAACCATTACCATTGAAAGGTGAGTTTGTTTCTTAATAGGGGCTCTATTGCTGTGGCCTTGTGCCAAGATGAGCTTTATAAACAACTCTTAGAGGTCTATTCAGAGTATTTCAACATAAACTTTGTGAACTAAAAGTGGACATATTTCTTGGTGTGAAAACTGAATCCTTTGGAATGAGTTATGGAGCCTTCTGCTTGGTTTGACCAGATTTTGAGGGTTTTTTTTTTTTTTTTTGTTAAATCATTTCACCCCAAGCAAGGTGATGATGCCACTAAGATGCAAGGGGATTAAAGTTAGTGAAAAAGAATGAGAAGACTTTGGTGAAGAAAAGGACAGTGAAAGAACAGGAATCAAAAAAACAGAAGGTGGCACTTGGCATTGAATATAAATTTTTGAAGATTCTAGGTGGCAAGGAAGCAAGAAATCAGAGGGGGAGATTCACAGGTGAGAAAAACTGTTTGAATAGAAGTGATGGTTGCATCTAGCTAGTTCATTAAAATGGTGAGACCTACTTGCCAATCTGGTAGCATACAGTGAAGTTATTAAGTAGATAAGTTCATCAGAACAATTGCCATGAAGAAATTTGGAGAATAGACAGAGAGAAGCCCCATCATGTCAGTGAGAAAGTAACTGAAGTGGAGATGCCAGGTTAGGATCGATTATATTACAACAGACCCTTCGTTGACATTTACATTACAACAGACTTCTTTGAATTTTGGCAAGAATTTTGAGCTATATGGGAGGAACACCAGACCAAATATGTCAGCAGTATTTAATGCATGGACAAATGATAGATTTATAAATGTGCAAGAAGGATTCTGACAAGAAAATATTGTCTGGCATGATGGATCGGTTGGAAATCCTTTGAAAAAGAAAAAAAATGTTTTTTTTTTTTTTTTTTTTAATGTTGGTTTCTCCATGTGAATATATGAATAAGTTCCACCAACACAGATATTGTTTTTTTCCCCATTTTCTTTTTTGGATTTTCTATTTCTTTTTTCCTTTTTTTTGGATTGTTTATTTATTTATATCTTTTTTTGCTCTTTTTGATTTTGTTTGTTTTCTTTTTTTTTTTCTTTTTTTTTTTTTTCGGATTTTGCTTTTTTTCTCTATTTTGGGGGGGATTTTGCTTTTTTCTTTTTTTGGGGATTTTGCTTTTTTTATTTTGCTTTTTTTTTTTTTTTTTTAGGTATTTTTTGTTTTTTTTTTTTTTT